CAAAAAAACAAACAAACAAAAAAACACCTTTGTGCCCTCCCCTGTTCCTACGGGAACGCCTCCCCCACTCTACTCCGCCAGCCTTAGTTAATTTCTCAAAGACGTTGGGCTCCTTCAAGTAATCCGGAGTGAGGGTGAGGCTGGCTGTTCTGGGAATCAGGTGCGAAGGTCTGGAAGGAGGTGGTCAGCCTGGATTGGCTCGGGGTGGCCCCTGTGTGCCCCGCGCCCATCCATAGGGTCACAGCAGGAGCCTGCACTGCTGTCAGAGGGGGCGCCTTGAAGGTCCGGAGGTACCTGGGACAAGGACGCCTACAGAGAGAAGTGGGGAAAAGGCTCCTGGGTGGCTCTGGAAGCAGAAAAACAACTTGTTTCTAAAGCAGCCGGACTGGTTTGCACTGGAGGGATTCTGCGTGTGATCTGTGTGCCTATAAATACCAGAAAGGTGGTGGTGCCCGGTGAGGTGCCTGCAGCAGCCCCCCACCCCCACCCCCACCCCCAGACTTGTGAGGGAGCTGGCTTAAAAGGCCACTACAACCTGAAGCCCGCTGGTCAGGATCTAGCCAAGTTGACGGCAGCAAGAGTTGCTCTGGTAAGGCGGTGGCCTTGGCTTCTAGAAGCCCCAGCCCGGAGGACCCTGCTGGAGTATAAAATGGAAACACGGTTCTCTTTGGGATCTCAATCACCTTGTTCCAAAGTGATTCCCCAGACCTGGCGAGTCCCCACAACGGCATTTCTGTATCTTCCCTTTACCTCCCCTGGTGCCCCCCTCAGTCCCCACTGTAGAGAGCCCGGTCTGGGTGGAGGGTGCAGTCAGCGCACCCTTCATGATGAGCACCAAGGGGATGAGTTTAAAATCTTATCGCAAAAGTGTTTGATGTTGTTTGCTTTCCAGCCCCGCTAGTAGTTTGTATTGAATCCAAACATCATTAGGCAAGGGGTTGGAGTCAGTTATGCCCACTCCCTCCCTCTCCGATCCAGCAAATCCCCGAACGTCCCTCTCCTCCCCGAATCAGGAAGGGATCTTTTGATTTCTTGTCTGTCCTTTGGCTGCTGCTGCTGTGGCAGTCGTCATTGAAATATGACAATCTTGCCGCCTGGCTTTGCTCAGACCCTGGGGCCTGGATGGGAAGTCAGACCGGACACCAGTGCCCCGATTGAATAATCTGTGTCACTAGGGCTTTGAGCCCAGGATGTGAGCGGAGGCAATTCCCTGTTTTGGAAGAAAATCAGACAGGAAACCGGTGCTAGGAAGAAGGAAGAGAACTCAGTCCAGCAGAGTGTAATGGGGCCTCATTACCGAAGCAAAAGGCAGCTGTTGGCTAATTCCTAGCATGCTGTAACACATGAGGATTTTGCAATTAGTAATAACTAGTGCATGGGGTTCTTGAATATACGCCTGCCCTTGGCCCAGCAGCTTGAGTGAGGTGCCTTTCAAAGCAGAGGGATTGGCAAGTAATGCCACTTTTTAGACAAGTTTCTCAGCCTGTCCACTCCTGGCTGGGTGGGGCGGTGGGGGGGGGGGGATTTTTCCATCATTTCTCCACCTTTGGGTTCTGTGGTCCTAAGGACTGACTTTGAAAGGCTTTTGTTACTTAACAAGTCTGTGCGATGACCCCACCCAATCTCAAGGTAACTTTATTACACACCAGATAAAACCTATAATCACTTTATTTCTCTCAGCTTCCTTTACGGGGAGACTGCCGGCAGTTAGAGACGGGCCGTCCTCCTCTGTGGCGTCTCAATGGACCAATCCCTGTAAACCACTGTTCTCTGGTTTTCCCTTGGGCAAGTGAACATTATTTTTTCCTGATCTCTTTGTTTGTGGGGTCTAATATTCCTGATGTTTGTTGCTGTTTACTCAACCCAGAACTTTCCTCTCCTCTCGAGCTTCCTAAAGCTTGATCTTAACACGGTCATGAGTCCCAGTGACTGGGGGGGGGGTGAGGGGTGGGGGTCGGGGGGAGTGCGGAGATAACTTTTTGTTGAAACCTCTGTTCTTGTACATGGCAGGAACTCGAAGCATGAGAAATATTTCCTGTCCCAGTTATAGTTTTAATCTCCGAGGTTGGTCATTGGTGATTTTGTTCTGTCGGTGATCATTGCACACATCTCCCCCTCCTGGCTTTTTCTTTGTGTTGTTGTTGTTCTCTCTCTCCTCTCTCTCTCTCTCTCTCTCTCTCTCTCTCTCTCTCTCTCTCTCTCTCTCTCCCTGACTTTCCTAGGAAAACACCTCCCAGATAAATGCCCTGCCTGGCTGCTCCACTATTACGGTTTCAGGGCCTGAGTATTACGCAATCCCGCCGGTTACACAAACACAGGTCATTTCATAACTTGTTTTCATCAGCTGGGTCCCCTTTTAATGAAAAAAATAAAACCAAAACAAAAACAAGACCTAGACCTTTTCCAAGGCTGCCATTTGTCTGCCCCTTAGATAACTTGTGAAAATAAATCAAGGGGGACAGTTCTTTTTCGGAATCAAGGAATCCCAGACTACCTCTCGTCTGCAGCAACCACCCTTTCCCAGGAGACAGACACACACACAAAATTTCCCGGAGTGAACTGCTGCCAACTGTACCAGGCTGGGACATTCCTCACATCAAAGAACTTTTACCAGAAATGACTGTGATTCCCAAGTCAGCCCTAATCGTGCCTCTCTAGTGCCCCCTACGGGACATGCTTAGAAGAACCATCTGGGGAATGTATTTTTCCAGCTCCAGAGAGTTAACTTGGTGAGTTTTTTAAATTCTTAGGATTTTTTTCTTTTTAGTTCAGGACAAATAAATGGCATACACTTAAGAGCAGTTAACTGGGAACTGCTTGACTTTGAGATGCGGTTTTTTAAAAAAATTTTCTTTTGTTCTAAATAAAACCTTGTTGAAAAGAAGTGCTTTTTTTCCTTTCCCCATTTTGATGTCTGTCTCTTCATTAGGGAGTCAGCACAATGGCTTCACATTCCACAGGCTTGTTTCCTTGATGTGTTGTGTTAGGAGACGGCATTGTTTGGGTGGGGGATGGTCTTCAGAATTGCGGGGAAGGAGGGAGGTATATATTAAGGGTCTGCTGCCTTTTTTTTTTTTTTGGCCTTGATCTTACAGACGTCATAGATTAGGATCAAACAAAATGTTACCCCAGGAATTTGTCTGTTCCGCTGATTCTTGATGGTGGAAGTCAGCGTCACTTTTTCATCCAAGTGAGTGGGGTGAAGCAGAAGTCATGTATTATCTGAGTGGCGGTTAAATTTTTCTTTCCAGCCCCCTGCGTGCATTTCCATTCCTTTATTTCTGCCTGCCTTCTTTTTCTCGGTGAGTGTAAAGTTAGGAGCCTCGTTGTGTTTTTTCTTTTCTATCTTAAGACAAGCACACCAGAGCTTATCCATCCAAATCACTGTTGTCCCTTCATAATTGCTCCTGGAGGAGACTACACACATAGGCGAATGCGGGGGCTTAGTCAGACTCAGAAAGGTCTTACAACACCCCTCTTTTGGAATTGCCTTCAGCAAGTTCCTTCCTGCTAACAAATCTCTGTCCTTTGAGGTAAGTTTGATATTTGGAAATGATCAAGAGATTTGACATCTAAGGAATCACATCTGACGTGTAAGGTCTGGGTAGTCCGGTTGGATCCCCAGCAGAGCGCGACCCCGAGTCCTATTGGTCTCAGGTCTGGAGTTTGCCTGGGAGAGTGGTTGCCAGGACAGGGCACCCCAAAGCAGGCACCTCGGCCATCTATCCCTCAGGGGGTATTTTTCCTCTCTGTTAAACAGGAATAACGAACTCTCTGGTCTACCTGTTGAAAGAAAGAAAAAGGCGGCATCGTTACTTTGTGGATTTGTATTATTCATGTTGTATATGGTATCTTTTGGTGGCCACATCATTTCAAAATGGTGACAGCTGCCCTGATTGAGGCAAAATATATCTGTTCCAGCCCCCACCTAGTAACTCTATCCCTCTTCAACCCACTGGGCCGGAGAGGGAAGCTATTGGGGTTCTCTTGCCCAGCACTGGCTCATCCTGTCACGTGGCAGTGACTTGGTGCTCACGCCGCTGTGGTTGTAGGGGAGGTGGCATGGCCTTCCCATTGAGAAGATGTGTCTGAGGGTTGGTGGCGGTACAAAAGGGGTCCACAGAATAGTGGAGAAAATTCCCCGTGTTTTGGAGTGGGGTTTCTGGTCGAAGGGGCCCTGGGAGGAAAAAAATGGAAATCGGAGGGAGTAAGTCTGCATCAGCCACTTCCTTCTGTTCATGCTTTTGCCTTTCTCCCTGATTTTCTCCATCCTGGCAGGCAGGCAGAAAAGGGCAGCGTGCTTCTCTAACCTGGGAAAAAGAGGCCGTGGAGAGGAGGCAGGTTACCCGCCATCGTGTTTGTATGCTGTACAGTTTGGGGAAACCACGAGTTATTAGCAACCATTTCCATTGTGGCCTAAGTGGCTTGCTCAGGTGGGAATGAAAAGTCAGGGTAACGTTCCGTGTTGATCTGTGAAGATGGGCTGAATCCCATATAGAAGGCTCTGGAGGGCATCCCCGAGTTCAATAAAAATACAGAACATCTGAGTCAACCTGGGCTCACCAGGGGTATTCTGGGTTATGAGGGAACATCCGCACTTACCTCCCTTCTTTCCCTGAGCCAGACTCCCCACCCGGGATGTGGGACTTTTCCTTTCCCTGTGCTGGGAATCTAAAAATAAAAGGGGTAGAGGGATTCTTAAGAGCCATACCTACCTGGCTGTGGACACAGGTCACAGGCATTCATGGGGTTCATGGCTTGAGCGCTTGGTGGCTCAGTCTGAATCAGTCTGATGGAGAAATGTCTGGGCAAGGGGGTGGGCCAAGAACACCAGCCCCAACTGCCATCTCGGTGCCGTTTCTGCCCCGCTCAGCAGTGGCTGGGATGAGCCCCGGCCCATCCGTGTCTGCAGGGAACGGGAGCCCACACCCTCATTCCGAGACCCTTCTGTAGAAGGCCGTGGCTGTACCCCTCATTTCTGCATCCAAGGCTGTTGTGTCAAGTTCAGGAAGGTCCTTTTCCAAAAGCAGCCACTGCTGGGCTGTGGACACCTCTCTGATCTGATGATGCTGAGGTGGCCATAGGCGCCCTGTGTTCTGGGCAGTCTCTCGGGCAGTGGGAGGAGGACACGCGTACTTACTAGGCAGCCCGTGGCACCCTCACGTCCAGGTGCTGCGGAGTAAAGGAGGTCCTGATGCCCAGGGACCCACCGCAAGGCTGGTGAGGGCTCGGGCTGCAGCTCGGGGTCTGGAGATGCAGGCGGCGGGGTCAGAGCCCGTCCCTGCGACCGGCTGGGTTAGAGGGAGCCCTCGGGTCTGATGTTTTGCTTTCTCCTTTTCTCTCTTTGTCCTTTTCCCCCAAACCTGAGCACAGGAGATGAAAATGTCCCTCCAGAACAGGGGGCACCAAGCTACGGCCCCAGTCTCTTTATAAGGAAGGTTTAATGGAACCCAGGCCCGCCTGTTTGTTTACATATTGTCTGTGGCTGCTTTCCCGCTGCAATGGCAGACTTGAGTAGTTGCAACAGAGACGGTGCGGCCCACAAAGCCTGAAATATTTACTACCCGGCCGTTTACAGCAAACGTTAGCCAAACTCTCCTCTCAGAGGTCAGCGGGGGCCAGTTTGTCCTTTTATGGGCATTCTTGCCCACCCAGCAATCGACAGGATGGCACAATTAACTACAGCACTTGGAGGGTTTGCCAGGTTGGAGTGCCACACAGACATCTAGCATCTTTGAACCTGTCCCTAGACGTGGAGCTTCCGGGGGGAGCTGGGGGACCCCAGAGGAGCCAAGGGAGGTCCCGGGTCACCTCCTCTAGCCCCCCATGCCCAGCACACACCTGGTGCTGCAGCAGGAATCCAACTACCCTAATGCCCGCAACTGGGAACCTCATCTTAGTTTCTGTTCAGTGTAACCCGGTCTTAGAGAACCACGCTTTAACCCCAGTGATTTATCTTGGGCCTGTTGGCATAGAGGAATGCCAGGCCCGGACCACAAACTCCTCGCCTCACCTCTCCTCTGAATAACACCTTCAGAGGTGAGACAAGACATCTGCCAGATCTCACTTAAACTTCTGTGTGTCTCGCAGAGGCTCCTCTGGGAGACAAAGCCTTCTTTATCAGCCCCAGTCCCCTCTGGGGATGGGACGGTGTTTACAGCCGGGGTGTTATCCAGATGGCTTTAGCTCCCTCTCAAACAAGGTGTACCTGCATTTAGAGGCAGTCATTACCTCTGTCTTGCTTTTATTGCTGTCTTGTTTTGTCTAGACCAAGCCATCGCTGCAAGGAATCTGGATCTGGCTGGGGGCCGGGAGCACATTCCCTGCCATGGAGCCAGGGACTGCAGGGACTGCAGGGCCCTGCGAGGGGCCGAGTCCTCCACCTTCTCCTAAGGGATCGTAGTGTCCAAGCTTTGCTTCTGATTTTCTGCTCCCCCTGGACTGGAATGGGGGCTCTTTGGGTGCTTGGAATGAGGAGTGAATTTCTTGGGTGCTTTCTGGAAAGGAAAGCTGACAGTTCCCCACCCCACCCTATAGATGGAGGTCAAGGTCACATTAAACCCTGGATGCCTCAGGGGTCCTTCAGACCCACCGCCCTGACTTGGGAGAGAAATGGAGTGAAATGGTGGGTGCTCCTCAGGAGTGGGGCACTGGCAGTTCTCCCCGGAGCCACCCGTGCAGAGCGCCCGACGATGACGATGATAACGCGATGGTGGTGGTGACAGCAATGGCGATGCCGCCTCCCATCTGTTTGCGGCATTTCTCAACCCTGGCTGCACATTAGAATCTCCCCAGGTGGTTTTTAAAAATACCTTATCAGAACCCTACCCCAAACCAGTTATTTTCGAACGCTAATGGCGAGGCTGGCTCCGGCCTTGGTGTTTTGAAAAAGCTCCTCAGACTATTCTAATGTGCAGCCGGGGCTGAGAACCATGCGCGTGCTTTCATAGCCTGTGATTACAAGTAGCTACTAATTTAACCCTCGGCACAGGGCAGGGAGTGTGGTGTTAGCATTCCCACGTAGGCAGGGAAACTGAGTCCTCAGATTTGCCAAGGCCTCAAGTCCAGGCCTCCGGACGACTCCCAAGTGCAGTGCTGACTCCCTGCCAGCGCACCCCCCTCCCCCCTCGCAGCCTGAGAAACAGCCGTCTGGGCCCAGTGCTTCTGCACGCTCTCAGTGCTCTGCCTCCTCAAAGCCTCGCCCTGGTTGTCTGTTTTCTTCCTAAAGATCGTTTCTCCATGGAGTCCTTCCTTGTTCACTGCACCCTTCCCTCCCTCACACCATGCACACACACACACACACACACACACGCACATGCACACACACGCGCACACCCATATACACCTTCTTTGCAGTCAGCTCCTGATAAAAAAAGCCCAGTTGTCTGCCCTCTGAGGCAACACAGAATCCCTTGCACTGGGCAGCTCTCCTCACGGAATCCCAGAATCCATTGCACTGGAAGCACCACACAATCCCTGAATTTATTGCACTGGGTGGCGTGCTTCATGGAATCCCAGAATCCCTTGTGCTGGGTCCCTCTCTTCATTGAATGCTTCTGGCCTGGGGCCGTCTGGGAGGTGAGGCAGCGCATGCTGCCACCCGGACTAGGGTCAGGGGTCAGGGTCAGGGGGTCAGGCCGTTGGAAGGGGAACGAGCCAGGAAGGATTCTCGGCTCCCTCAGGTCCAGTGAGGTGCATCGCCAGCGGCAGAGACAGTGGTGGGGGCAGCTGCCATTGCTGCTGATCCCGCTGGTCCTGGTTGGTGTGATTGGGCCCGAGTGCGGGGAGGTGCTGTCGTGCCCATGCTAATGATGGCGTAATGACAGCAGGATTTCATCGGAGGTCTCAGAGCTGCGGGGCCTCCTGGGTGAGAGGCGAGGTCTGCGGGGACCTCGGCAGAGATGACCTGATGCTCTGTCTGAGGGCAGTGGGGTCAGCACCTGGGCTGTACTTTGTGTGAGAACTCTGGCCTCCTTGACAGGTGACCTGGCTTCATTAGCAGCGTGGCCTGGGAGGAGGCCATCTCTTTAGCCTACCTTTCTGCCTCTAAAATGGCGATCATGGTAGCGCTTCCCTGGGGGGGGAGAATGGGTGAGTAATCGAGGTACAATGCCACCGTGCCTGTCCCTTAGTGCGTGCTCCGTACGTGCTGTTATTGCTGTCGTCATCTGACCCACCAGAGTCGGGGAGAAAGGATCTGCAGGCTCTTTTTGTAGAAACAGGAAACTTCTGAGGATGAGGGTTCTGTTCGGGGAGCTCTTCCCCGAAAGCTGTGTGTTTGTGGGAGGGGGGTGTCCCTTCTTTCTCCCTCCTTCTCTCACTTTCTAGTAGCTGCTCCGAGGAAAGGTCAAACCCAGCTTCCGGGGAGCACGGCCCAGTTTAGCTTTTGTTCTCTGTCGTCACTGTACACTTTAAAGAGAATGCTTCCTGCAGCGTGTTCAGAGGGCGCTGCAGTGTGGCCTGGGCGTGAATTACGAGAGAGAGAGAGAAAAGTCTGAGCTGGCAGCTCCCGTGTCCCACAGATGCATGGTTGAACACAGGTAGATAGATATGTAGACAGGAGAGACACAGCATGTCTGTCCCAAGCAAGAGGGGGTGAAGGGCAAGGTGGAGGTCAAGGGCAGTCAGGGGGGGTCTGGCAGCTCATGCTACCACTTTTAGTCTCATGGGCGGGGGGACACCTTTTCATGGCCCTGACCTCACCCTGATGATGGGGTCACAGCTTCATTCCGATCCTGCTTGGAAAGTGACGAAAGCAGGCACAATAGGCTTCCTGGCCCTGGGAATAATTGGCAGGTGACCCGGGGCCTCAGGAGGCTCAGGGGGGAGGCCAGCCCTCCTGCAGATGTGCACATAGCTGGCCTGGAGGGACCCAGGGAGGGCCTGCCGAGTGTGAGCGGCTAGGACCACATCTGTGCTAGAAGTCACTTGGAATATAACGACATTCTCACTGAGGGATGGAGTCCCCAGGACTTCATTCAGGGAGCCGGTCTCACACAGGGACCCAGGAATAGTTAGGATTCCCCTGATTCTTGGATGTGCGGGATTTGTCCAGGGAAGCCCACCAGTGTCCTTGGTCCCCCAAGCATTGACCCTGCTTTCAGCTGGCTTTTGCCTCTTGTCTCTGCGTGTCCTGTTCTGCTCAGCACTTCTCGGCTCAATCCTGTTTTTTCTCATTTCAGAAATTCCGGGTCGATATGCCTGGCTCCGGCAGTGCCTTCATCCCCACCATCAACGCCATCACGACCAGCCAGGACCTGCAGTGGATGGTGCAGCCCACAGTGATCACCTCCATGTCCAACCCGTACCCCCGCTCGCACCCCTACAGCCCCCTGCCGGGCCTGGCCTCTGTCCCTGGGCACATGGCCCTCCCGAGACCCGGCGTGATCAAGACCATCGGCACCACTGTGGGTCGCAGGAGGAGAGATGAGCAGGTACAGCTCAGATCTGCATAGAAAAGCCACGTTGGTGGCTTTCGGGGCCTCGTGACACGGTGTTTTTGCAGCCTGGTGGGGAGCAGGGTCAGTGTTCTGGGGTCACTGGGAAGAGAAAAAAACGAGGTGCCAGAAGCACGTGATTTCCATCCTTGGAGGCAGGGGTGGAGACGTGAGGTCAGGTCCAGCTCTGTCGCCTCCCATGTCCCTTAGAAGCCCTGTCTCAGCTTCCTCAGCGGCAGGATAGGGATCAGGGTACCTCCCAGCCAAGACTTGTTGCCACTCGAAGGCGGTCAGGCGTGGGAAACACCTTGTAAGTGGTGAGGTGTCAGCAAATGGGGAGGACTGTTGGGACCTGCCTACAGCAGTGTCCTGCTTGATCCGTGGCAGAGTGGCCACAGGACAAGCAGCCAGCGAGCCCTGGCCAGCTTTCTGGGATTAGCCCTTCACTGTCTCCCAGTATCTGGTGCAGACAAGCCGCCCAGCAGACCCAAAGGGTCGCACTCTAGGCCGGTTCCGCCCACAGTACTTTACTTCCTTCCACTAAGGTGTCCTTGGCCTCCAGTGAAGCAGGGTGAGTGCCTGGGATGAGTGTTCCAGGGGGCAGGACGGGGGTCCTGGGAGCCTGCCCAGCTGCTTCAGCTGACCCGGGGTGAGGGTGGGAGGTCAGGCGTCAGCCTTGTTTTCCTCAAGGGGCTCAGCTGGGAGGAATCAGCTGGCTGGGAGGGACCAGAAAATGGTGGGGCCTCTGCCCTCGAGGCAGCATCCACCAGAAGGCCCCTGGGTGCATCAACAGGGAGCCAGGCAGCCCAGGCCCCCTGATTCCAGAAAGAGCCCGCAGAATCATGCATAATTCCAGGAAGGAGGGTATGAGCTGTCCAAGTGCCCCACACGTACCCCTTCACAGATGACTGGACCAAAGCTCAGACATCCCTGCCTGGGGCCACTCGGCAATGCGAGAGGAGTCTGGACTAGAACCCAGTGCCCGGGACTCCCTGTGCAGTGATCTGCAGGCCATGCCACCAGGAGTCCAGGGAAGGGGACATGCTGTAGGAGGGGAATCCCTTTTTCAAATCAAGTGTTGACCTGGAGAACCCCTCCGATGACAGCATCACAGTGTTCCAGTACAAGGACCTTTAAACACGGTCCTCTGGGTAATCGTGACCCAGGATACCTGGAATTACAAGGGTCGCTCTCCAAGGAGCCGGAAGCTTCTGCAGGGGCCCTGTATCCACTGCGTGCTGGCTTGTTCTGTTCGCAGCAGGACCATGCAGGGTGGCATGGGAGGGGTGCGTAAGGGATGCTGTAAGCGATACAGCTCACAGTTGCTGTTGGGCTTCTGCTGGGGTCGGGTGGGTGGGGGGGCAAGTGGCCAGGATTCCCCTCACCATTGCTTCCATAACTGCAGTTGCGGATATTGCAGTAGCAGTGATCCTCGTGTCTTTTATAAGCCTGCTTCCTTCAGGGAGCCCACGGTGCCACGCTCTGCAGTCCCTGGGGAGCTGGATTCTCCCTGTGTGCGACTCCTGAGAGACAGCCAGGCTTGTGAGAGGGACTCTGGGGCTAGGAGAACAACAAAGCGAGATGCACTGAACACTCTTCATCCTTTTCTGGGTTTAGCTCACACCAGATTTAGAGGTTTATATCTGGAAGGGATTTTGGAGACCAGCTTTTAAAAATGTTGCCTCTGTACCCATTTTACAGATGGGGAAACTGAGGCCCAGGCAGGAAAAGGGCCTTGGCCAGGGTCACACAGAAAATTAGTGCAGAGCCAGGACTGGGATCCACCTCCCTTGACCTCCAGCCCTGTGGTTTTCCCACTGCACCATCTAGGCGTGCCCTAAGACAATATGTCTGGAAAATTTCCTTCCTTTTTTTGAGAGGGAGGGAGAGAGCCAGGAGCATTTTATTTCATGTCTTTGTCAATTAGGAGTTCAGACAATCATCCGGCAGCTTGGAGGAAGCCTGGGCGAAGCCCGGGCGGTAGCATCCTCCACCTTGGCTCTCTGGTTCCTAGCCCTCGGGTCTTTTCCCTGAAGCTTGCTTCTGCCTTCCTGACCTCCCCCAGGGGCGGGGCCTGCTACAGGAGCCGGCCTGGTGCCTCCCTGCCCTCCTCCGGCCTGCCCAAGGCTCCCTCTGAGCCCAGGGGCGGTGACGGAGGAGACAGGGAGGGGAGGGTGTGTGTGGCTTGTGGGTGGGTACACGGTAGTGCTGACACACTCAAGCGGTAACCATGTTGATGTCACCACCCCTGAACACTTCCTATGCCCACAGCTCCCACAGGTTGCCCGCCCCAGACCGTACCAGATAGGAAAGAGACTTCTAGGCCAATGGGGAGGCCGGAAGTTGTCCTGAAGCAGCCAAGGGGAAGGGAGGCCCAAGTGGACCATCCCTGCCGTCCATCCGTGTGGGGGAGGGGCTAGCAGAGCCTCACGGGGAGCCTGAACCCAGGACTGCAGCAGGGCCATCAGGCTCCCTTGATAACTGTGGGCTCAGGTTGAGACACGTGGAGGAGCAGCAAGTATTCAGGGCCTCGGCACAGTGGCCTCATGACCTCAGCCAGGCGGCTGGCCCCGCACGGAGCAGGGTGTCCGGTCCACTTGGACTCTGCTGGGACTCAGAAAAAGCACTCGAGAGGAGACCTCGGGATCGCATCTCCTTCCTAGCGCTTTCTAGTTAGAGGATTCACACGCTGCATCTCATCTGATCATCACAGACAATTTGTGGAAGGCAGGGCAGGTCCTGCTGATCCCATTTTACAGATGGGAAGCCTGAGGCTCAGCAGGTTCGGTGATTCGTCCCAGGCCACACAGAAAGGCCGTTGCTGGGTTCTGCTCCCCGCCGGCCTGATACCTCTCAGAAGAGAGGATGTGGAGCCCGTGGCTCTCTGGGGCTGAGGCCGGGACTTGAGGGACGTGGAGGTGGGACTGGGCTGTGGGATCAGGTTTTGGAAGGGGCCTGAGGACTCTTAGGGATGCTACCTGCTGGACTGCTCCGTGCATCGCACCTGGCGGCCGCTGCCGGGGCTGAGGGACACAGCGAGGGAGGAGCTGGAGAGAGAGGAGCTGGCCTGGGTCTTCACCCCGGAGGTGGGAGCGGCGGAGGAGGTGGAGGAGTGTGGTCTGACATCCTGGGAGTGAAGGGCTCTCAGGGCAGACACAGAGGGGTGGGCGCTCGGCCCAGCGGAGCCCCGGGAGGCAGGGACTGACTGCTGGGAGGCCCTGGCGGTCTCCCCGGCCCCCCAGGCGTCCCACCTCCCTCTGGGCCCTGTATGGGGCCTGCTGGGGGAAGGATTTCAAAGCTGAGCAGGTGTGATGAGCTTGTCTGTGTCTGGGCAGTAACTGGCACATTTTCATGCCAGTGTTGGGAGAATTTGGATACAGGGCTCGGGCAGCGTGGGGCCACGGGGTCACCTCAGTGTCGACAGGGATGGGTGCGTCCTCTGAGGCTGTGCCCTGCTTTGCTGTTCCGGATGGCACAGCACAGCAACCGAGCTGAGGCTCAGGGAGCGTCCCAGGGACTCCGCGTGGGCCCAGCCAGGGGCCTGCCCCTCCCCCCCCCCGGGGCATCCCTCAGCGGGCAGCGTCTCTGCTCCCCTCCAAGAGTGGCTTTGGCTTTCTTGCCCAAGTGTCCCTAGAGTGAGACCCAGGTCCTAGCCCCTCAGAGTCTTCTAAGCCCCCAGGACGGCGCTTGGCACATGGGTGTGCCGTCCGTGTCGGATAACCGCACGGGATGGTCTTTCCTTTTGAGCTGCCCTCTGCCTTGGCCCGCAGCCATGTCCTGTGTCACCTCCGCCTGCGGGGCATTGGGCCAGGGCCCTGGATGGGCTGTGTCAGCACTGCCGAGTGGAGCAGAGGTCTTGCCCTGTGGCATGAGTCACGGCCCCTCACCAGCCTCGTTGTAAGAAGCCGGACTGAGCTCTGCAGGGAGGTTTGCTCACTCCGTCCTCGGATAAATCCCGAGCCCCTCAAACCGTGCCTGGTGCGTAGAAGGCGCTTGTTTGCTGATCGAGCGGATGTGGTGGGCAGCGGGAATTGAGGTGCCTGAGGGCTTCTCCCCTTTGGCCCATCCTGTCCTGCCTCGCGGTGTGGGCCTGGGGTGGAACTGAGAGCCGCTGGCAGAGGAGGTCGGGGTGGGGTGGCATCCTTGACCCTCCCTCTGGCAACAGACCATCCCCCTACCCCCACCTCCCCCACCTGCAGGGTGGTTCTTACTCGGGGCCCAGCCACTTAGCCAAATGGGGATAATGAGGCTTGCAGAGCAGGCAGGGATGGGAGGGGTAATTAGCCCGGGTTTGGGAGAAGCTGCTGTCGCAGGTGGGGCCGGGCCTGGCTGGCACGAGGGGGCTCCCTGGGGGAAGCAGCCCATCTCCCTCTCGCTGGCCTTGGCGCAGCCTCGGGGCTGACATGACAGATGCTGCTGCCGTCACGCCTGGGCCACGTCCCTGACCCGTGGCTGCGCTGTCCTCCTTGTGCACGTGGGCATCACCTGTGGGTGGGCTCAGCCCTCGGTGTCCTCTGAGCCTGGCCGAGCTCCTCTTGCCTTCCTCCCTCCCTCCCCAGTCCCAGAGGGGCTTCCCGCCCTACTTAAAATGCAGCTAAAAAACAAAAAGCTGGCCCTAACCGGTTTGGCTCAGTGGATAGAGCGTCGGCCTGCGGACTCAAGGGTCCCAGGTTCGATTCCGGTCAAGGGCATGTATCTTGGTTGCGGGCACATCCCCAGTGGGAAGTGTGCAGGAGGCAGCTGATCAGTGTTTCTCTCTCATCCATGTTTCTAACTCTCTATCCCTCTCCCTTCCTCTCTGTAAAAAATCAATAAAATATATTTTAAAAAAAAAGCTGGGGCACCATCCCTGAACCTAACCAGGACGCTCTGCCTTGGCCTCTAGCTGTCCCCTGAAGAGGAGGAGAAGCGTCGAATCCGGAGGGAAAGGAACAAGCTCGCCGCTGCCAAGTGCCGGAACCGCCGTAGGGAGCTGACGGAGAAGCTGCAGGCGGTGAGGAATCTGCGGGGGGGAGGTGGGGGTGCCTCCGGGTGGGCTGCGGGGGGCCTCAGGCTCCTGGCCTCCCGCCTTCTCCTGCCCACTAGTGGCCTACAGATGGGTTCGTGGTGATGCACGTTCCTTCCTTGGTGCATGTCGGGTAGCACTGGCCTGGTTGAGGGAGAGGGAAGGAGGGAGCTGGCCTTTGGCACCAGCCTGGGCCCCAGAGAGAAGAGCTGGACCGCTCAGTGGGCCTGGTGCCCTTTCTCACTCGGTGTCTGAGTGTCCCCTGCTCTCAGACCTGCTGGGCTCCCGGTGAGGGATGGCAGACTGTGGGCATTGCCAGGCCCCGGGAGCCAAGGCAGGCCTAGACCTGCCCTCTCCAGGGCTGCCTCCCAAGTTCCCAGCTGCCCCCATGCCTACGGCCAGCAGGAGGGGCCCAGCTCACAGAAGTGACTGGATTGGGGCTGGGGGCACCTGCTGTCTGGTCTTGATGCCCTCTGGGTCTTGTGGAGACGGTCACATGTCGGCGGAGTGGTGCTGTCCTGGGGCTTTCTCACACCTTCGTGGGCAGGAGGTTCTCCACCTCTGCTAGGAGCCTGAAGCTGTGGCCTGGAACCTCCTTCTGCCCTCGTTGTCACTCTCCCCTGCCGCCTCGTTGCCCACACCTGGGGGCCCATGGCTCCGCCCCAAAGCTTGACCTGACCAATGTCACACAACTCGCTCAGAGCCTGCTCTGCAGGAGGGGCCGTCCACCCCGTGGAGGAAACCCGCAGCTAAGACAGGCCCTCCTGGGTAGTGTGTTTCTAAGTGAGGAGATGAGGGAGACCCTGGCATGGTCCTTACAGAGACCAGCCAGTATGGGGCTTTGGAAATCACCCGTTACCTTGCGCATCCCATCCCCTTATGTAATCCTCCCCGGTACCACTCGCCTGCTTCAGCTCCTCTCGTCCACCCTGGGGCCCTCGCTCTTGGGTGTTGCATGTGCCCTGCGTGGATGCTGTGATGCCTGTACTGATGCCCCCTGGAGGTGTTCCTGAAAGTCGGGAGGGTGAGGGGGGTTTTCTGTTGCCACGTGAGGCGGGCCCATGAGTGGTCAGCACTCCTTGGGGAGACCTCCCCTCCCCAACCATTCAAGGAGCCAGGCCCTCTGGGTCTACCCTGGGCGCTCCTTACCACCAGCCCAGAAGCCTCACACCCCGCTCCCCGCCTCCCCACCCCCAGCCCAGCCACCCAGGCCCCTGAGCCACATCCTCCACAGGAAACCTCTCAGAAGCTCATGACGTTCATCAGACCCTTGAGACAGATGGAAACTTTTTTCACTCCGGAATATGCCCTACTCCATTCGGTGACGCTCTGGCCCCGTTCGCCTCGTGCTTGAACGGGAACCCGTGCGAGGGGAAAAGTGGGAGGAGGCTGGTGACACACACCTTCTCGGCTGCCATGACTACCTCTCGCGTGCATGTGTGTGTGTGTGTGTGTGTGTGTGTGTGTGTGTGTGCGTGCATGTGCTGCTGCTCTGGCTTTGTGTGGAAGGAGGGGCTGAGGTCCCTGCCGTCCTCAGGTGCCCGCCTGGCTGCCAGGCTCCTCATCCGCTAACAGGGGGGCTGACCTGAATGCCCGGCAGGGTTCTCTGCGTCCTGAAACACACGCTTCTGAAATCAGAGCGGAAAGGGGAGGAGGGGCTGTGATGACCCGACCACAAGCCAGGCCGTGTCCTAGGCTCCAGTGCGCACAGTCTCCACCAGGGGTCCTCAAACTTTTTAAACAGGGGGCCAGTTCACTGTCCCTCAGACCGTTGGAGGGCCGGACTATAGTTTAAAAAAAAACTATGAACAAATTCCTATGCACACTGCACATATCTTATTTTGAAGTAAAAAAAACAAAACGGGAACAAATACAATATTTGTATTTGCATGTGGCCCACGGGCCGTAGTTTGAGGACCCCTGGTCTCCACTGTCATCCTGCTTGGAGTTTAGTGCATCCCGCCCCCCCCCCCGCGCCCCCCCCTGCAGGCTGTGGGCTCTGGAGGCAGAAAACTGGAGTCAAGTCTGGGGCTACTTACCTGTTGGCTCTGTGACTTCGGGCAAATGACTACACCTCTCTGAACCCGTCTCCTTACCTGCAGAATGGGTCGATGATAATACCTGCTTCAAAAACCTGCTAGAGGATGAGATGAGAAAAGGCCTATGAAATGCTTCCCTCGGTGCCTGGCACAACGTAAGCGCTCAGTCGTGGCCGCGCAAGGTGTCATTTCACCTTTCCTCCAGGCCCTCTGCCGCCTCCTCGATCTGGAGCTTTGGAAATAGAGGGAACCTTGAGCCCCCAGTGACTCGGCAGCAGTGGGGTCTGTGGCCGATGTGCGCTGGCTGCTCCCACAATCGGTCCTCTGAGGACATGGCTGGGTTCGCTTTGTTGTCTGGATCTGAACTGCCTGCTCCAAGCAGGTCCCTGGCAGGTCGCAGTCCCTTACGTGCCTCTCTTTCTCCCGCAGAGACGGAGGAGCTGGAGGAGGAGAAGTCAGGCCTGCAGAAAGAGATCGCCGAGCTGCAGAAGGAGAAGGAGAAGCTGGAGTTCATGCTGGTGGCCCACGGGCCCGTGTGCAAGATCAGCCCAGAGGAGCGCCGGTCGCCCCCGGCCTCTGGGCTGCAGCCCCTGCGCGGCGGGGGCGCCGTGGTGGTGAAGCAGGAGCCGCTGGAAGAGGACAGCCCCTCGTCCTCCTCGGCGGGGCTGGACAAGGGCCAGCGCTCCGTCATCAAGCCCATCAGCATTGCCGGGGGCTTCTACGGGGAGGAGCCCCTGCACACCCCCATCGTGGTGACCTCCACGCCTGCCATCACTCCGGGCACCTCGAACCTCGTCTTCACCTACCCCAGCGTCCTGGAGCAGGAGTCGCCCGCCTCGCCCTCCGAGTCCTGCTCCAAGGCTCACCGCAGGAGCAGTAGCAGCGGGGACCAGTCCTCAGACTCCTTGAACTCGCCCACCCTGCTGGCCCTGTAACCAGCGGCCAGGGGTCCTCATCGCTGCCTCCTCCCCTGGGACCAGCACCTTCCAGCGCTCCGGGGCCGCGAGGGCACGAGGGGGCCCTGCCAGCGAGCTTCCCGGCCCTGGGACCGAGGAGGCGCGGGCATGAGGCGCTGGAGGACCGACCTGGGTGAGATCGCTGAGAAGTCATGAAACCTCCTCCCTCGTCCACCTTGCAAAGCGAATCCTGTTTCTTGAAACGCCTTGGAGAACTTGGTGGGCTCGGGCAGCTCTCCGGCTTCTGAAGCGCCTGAAGCTGGTGTGGACCATTCCTGTCCCTTGGTTACGAAACGTCTCTGGAGTGATGGTGCCCTGCCCTGCCCCGCCGAGCATGCCCGTGGCCTGTTGGTTTCACCTTCCCCCTATTTGCCCCTTCTACCCCCAGTGTCAGTTTCACTTCCTCTTGGTTTTTATCAAGTTTGCCATGACATTTCATCTGGGTGGTCTGACTGTTAAAACTTTGTTTCTGGAGATGGGGCAGCAGGTGGCTCTTCTGCTGGGGCGGACTGTCCAGAGGGGACAATGTGCAATACGGAACCTTCCTCCCCGACACTCCCCATCACCGCCGTCTCCAGAGGTCCCGGCAGCGCTCCGTGGGCTCTGGAGGAGATGCACCGGCACAGAGGCTCAGAGCACCTTCCTCCCCACCATCGGGTTCGGCTCTCGGCTCTCGCGGAGCGGCTTGGCCAGAAGACAGGGTGTGAGGGAGACAGCCAGGGCACAGGTTGTGTTTGCCAAACGCCTAATTAACAGGCCAGGAATAGTGCCAACAAGCCACACGGTGTTCTCGCGGCTTCCTTCACCTGCTGTCTTGAGCAGGACGTCTCCTGTAATTACTGCCTCGCCTCTCTGCCCCTGGACCCTTCTCTGCAGACCAGGGAGGTGTCCCTCCCTCGGAACCACACGTCACTCCTTGTCCCAGCGGCTCTGCCCTCCCCACCCTGGCTCCTAGGGTGACGCCACCCACAGAGATTTAATGAGCTTGGGCCTGGACCCTCCCCAGGTGGCTGCAGGTGGCCCCTCCCCAAGCTTCAAAGGCACCTTCGCTGTGGATGGAAGGCAGGGGAGGGAGGAGGCGGCCAGCGGAGTGGGGTTTGCCTCACACCTGCCCTGGTACCTGGCTTGCCCTGTCTTGGCTGCTCATCTCTCTGAAGTGCCCATGGCCATTGGATGGGTCAAGTGCTTTCTCTTTAGACTCCCCATCCCCCTCACCCCAGTGTGCTCTTCGGGTCCGACGGCTTGTGCACCATTCCTGGGGGCTGCTGAGATGCGAGATGAGCTGAGATGCTCTCACTGCCAGATGCAGCTGCCCCCTTCCCACAGGGGGAGGGGAGGGAAGCTCTTCTGGCCCCTGCCTGCCGCCCTCCCAGCCTCTTTCTCCGAGCCTTCTTGGCCTCTGCTGGGCTGGCGCTCTGAGGCAGCCCCCGCTGTCCTGACCCAGCTCTAGAGATTGTCGTATGATCACTTAAACTATTTCCTGTTATTTAAATCAAACCCAGTGGGGGGGTCAAAGGAGAGAGCAGTGGCACTTAGATCTCACCTGTTCCTTCACACACCTGGGCCTCTGTGCTGGTCAGTGTCATGTCTGTTGCCTACTAGACACAGAGTGGGATGGTGTGTGCTTAGAATGCACAGCCCGCGGGGACTGGAAGCTGTGTGTGGAAGGAGATGTCAAGAGAAAAGGATGTTGTCTGAACATACTTTACAGATGCCGTTTCCCACAATCCCTGGCTGCGATGCTGCCCTCTGCTTCCAGAGGCTCAGGGAGGGGTGTGCCTAATTAGAAGGGGCAGGAGGGCTTCCGGCTTCAGGTTAATCAATGAAGCAGTCGGCCAGGGGGAGCAGGAGTCGGCAAAGAAACAGGTGCCCAGCTCGGAGGAGCTGCTTCATCTCAACAGGTGTTTGTGGCCAAGTGGGAACTCCTCTCTCTCTCTCTCTCTCTCTCTCTCTCTCTCTCTCTCTCTCTTTCTCTCTCAGCTGCTTTCTGGTGTTTCATTTCTCAAAGCCCCTTCATGCCCTAGTTTGCACAGCACTGACCCCAAGGCAGGCCACAGTCTGTGACACGGGCCAAGCTGGACATTCCTGAGATGGAATTCGGCTTCTGTGCAGATTTCAAGCTGCGCTGGCTTTGGGACCAGCAGCAGGCAAAGCCCCAGCCCCTCCCGGGCCCTCGCTGTGTTCTAGGAGGCGGCTGGGAGGTTTAGGGGGAAGGCAGCTGCTGCACCTGTCGGGAGCCCATCCTCAGGTGCTTCCTCTGGCTTGTCCTCCGAGTTCATGCACACGCACCCCTGTGCTCCAGAATCGCCGGACGGCAGGCCCGCTGCTTCCTCCTCCGGTGCTCCAGCTAGAACAGCTGCAGCGGGGGCTTTGCCCTGGGGCCGGGAACCGCTGTGCTGCCCCTGTGTCCCCAGCAGGGAGGCAGCTGGCGGGACTCCAGCTGGGCTGCTGGCAGCCCTGGGACAGCTCAGGGCAGGCCTCTGACAAGTGAGTGTGAAACACAGCCTTGGCCACCTGGCTGGCCTCGCTGGGAGCAGTCCTCCTGGCCGGTGGAGGGGACAGCTGCTGACACAGGAAGGAGAGGAGGTCCCAGGCGAGGCTTAGGAAATCGCTGGAGCCAGCTCTAAGCAGAGAACTCACTGGGGAGGTTTGCAGAAAGATACCATTGTTCTGCCTGTGTGAACGGCCAGGTGTGTCCACTGGCCAGTCATCCAGTGTCTCAAAGCCAAGAGCCATCCGAGGCTGCTGCTGCCCTTCCTCGGGCTCCGGGGAAAGGAGTTTCCTCTCTGCTCCCACTTGGCTCCACGTGTCAGGTGGGCTCGACTCCACGCGCATGGGGACTTTTCTGCCCCGTCCTTGATGGACCAGCCGCGCTCCTGGCAACCTCCCCATTTAACTTTCAGGGTGATTTCCTCCTGACCAGACATCGGTGAGGTCCCTTTAAGAAGGAAAAGTATAAGCACCTACTATGTGCCAGGCACTGTGTTAGGCACTTTTAAATATATCCTCTTTCAGATGAGACTAAGGAATGGGGTGCCTTCGTAAAGGCCCCCAAGAAATGGATAAACAAAAAGTTGGAGATGAGAAGGTCTTTCTTCAAAAAAACCAAGGCAAGATTGTCTTCAGTCTGAGGTTTATTCTCGAAGACCCATCCCCTACAATATGCTTCCACCTCTAAATCTCTTCTTCTCTCTACCTTGTGATGTGCTCCTTTGCACTCCTCGGATGGTTGGAGGGGTCACCTGAGTCCTTATAGAATTTGTGGACCAATAGGGTATGTATAACTTGCTTTTAAAAAATGTAAGTAAAGGGGTCTTGCTACTTTCTGCTTGTTGAGTCTTTTTGGCATTCATCTTCACAACCAGCATCTCACTATTTATTAACAGGTTGGGGTGTGCATGTGTGTGTGTGTGTGTGTGTGCACATGTGTATGTGAGGGTGTGTGTGTGTGTGTGTGCATTTCCAGGTGTGCCCGTGTCCTCCTGCAGCTTTTCAAAAGGAAACCCAGTCACCCCACCACTCATTTGACATCTCCTCATGCTTCTAGTGCTTTGGCCAGACATCAACAAAGGGTTTTGAATTTTCCAGTGCTGACATGTTCAGGAGGGGCGGGGTCAAATTCTGAGGAGGGTGTGGGGAGGGGAGGGGGAGAAGAAAAGGACGTTTATTTTATTATTTATTTTAAATGTTTACATCTTCGTGCTGTACCAAGCCTGAATAGAAACAGATAGCATTAAAGTACTCCGTTCCTCTCTCCCTCTCTTTCTTCCTTATTTTTTAAAATTAGGCTAATGATGCTTTTTTTGTTCCTGAAATGATTTGTGACTTGCGCTGTATAAACTGTATAAAAAGGTTCTGTTTTTTTAAAGATGGATTGTCACTCCTCTGGGGACAGTGGTCCCCGAGAAGTCTACATCGTGAGAGAACACAACAAAAGGTCCTGCCCTGTCCCCTAAAGACTCTTTCCTCTGTATGATTAAAGGTTTATTCCAGCTATTTTAGTTTGTGGTTACTTGCTGTCGAGGGAGAAAACATTCACCTTTGTACAAAGAGTGGGTATCGGGGCGTCTTTCCTGCGGTGGGAGATGTACATATGTATTTGGGTGTACAGTGGGAAGCGGGGAGCTTTGTGCGTCCGTATTTGAGATGTCGATGACGTGGCGTAACGTCTGCCCTCAGATCCCGGAGGCGAACAGCCTGTGCGAGGTTCCTGTAGCCCTGTGGGAACTTAGCACCGTCCCGAGCGTCTTTTTTCTCTATTGGTGAAACGGTCCCGTAGGAACGGCTCCAAACAGGCAGGACCGTGAGCGCCACGACCTTTGTATAGTTCTGAACATTGAGGAGTATCTCTGCTCCGAAGCATCCCTGGTGGTGTCTTTGTTCTCGTTTCGTTACTTTACTGTAATACAAGCCTACAGTATTTGCACTAAAGAAAGCTTGTTAGAAAAAGCTTGCTGCTATGGAAGAAAGAACATATTGAGACTTTTTTTTTCCCTTTGCATTTTTTTTTTTTTTTTTGGTTAGCTTTTCCACTTTCAATTGAGTAGCATTTTGTAGAATAAAATGAATTAAGATCGAAGAGCCTCTTATGGTCGGTTTATTCCACCTTTTCTTCTCGCCTCTCCTGTCACTTCTCTTTTCCTTCTGGTCTTTTCTGCCTTTGGCTTTGTGGTTCCAGTTGGTGTCTCGGGTGGTGAGGGAAGCAGGGGATGGTCTGCCCGGAACCTCTTTCTGCAGCACCGGGAGGTGGGCTGCTGGGCGGGGCTCGCAGCTCCCGGCCTCCTTCCTCAGGCTGCTCTCTCTGGACCCTCCCAGTCCTGTTTCCAGCTTCTCGGGGCCTGATTCTCAGCTCGCTGCCAACTACCATGGAGGTGTGAGCCAATAACAGTTCAAGGTGCTGTCCCTTCCTGGGGGTGTTTTGTTTGAACAGGTTGTGTCTGGAAACCCAAGAATCTTCAAAGAAGCAATTGAAGGGATCATTCAGATGGTCCAGGGGGTCAAATGGGATCCCGCCCAGGAAAGGGCCCTGCAGACAACCAGGTCTCCCTTTTCAGTAGAAGCGGGAGGTGTTAGGTGTGGCCACGCAGAAGCATCAGCCAGGCCCACCCCCACCTCCACCCTGTGTCGGTGTCCTGTCAACCGGGAGACCCAGACAGATGGGGACTGCTGCTCTGTGCCCTTCCTTGGGGCGTGAATGGTGGGGAGACACACTTGTCCTTAATTAATGCTCACAGTGTCGGCAGCTGCTGAGAATTAGCCCAAATCTGCCGGGACAAGCTGGGCCTGCAGGCCTCATCCTCTGGGGGACCCAAGAGCACCAACCGTGAGTCGGGGGGGGCCCCTGACTGCTCGGCTGCCCCCACTACTCTCTGGCTGTTGGGGTTGGGAGAAAGCCATGGAACCTCCCTGAGCCTTAGTGTTTACGTCTGTAAAGGGGGCGGGTAAGGATGGTATTAATGAGCTCCCTCGTCAGAAGGATCACGGCATCTCCTCTTTTCCCTTTTGAGAGGATCTGGGGTGCGAGGGGATGGGGTACTCGTAGTGACCTCTTGCCCCTGAGCAGATGACACAGCGCCTGGGGTGTCTCAGTGGACCTTTGCTTTGCTGAGCAGCCCATGTGTCTCCCCGTGGTGTGCGCCTCCGGGAGGCAGGTGCTTCCGTGAGCCTCGGGGAGTGTGCTGTCGGCAGAAGCCAGCGTGCGTGCGTCTGTGCTCGCCTCTCACGCCAGGCGCTTCCGCGACATTTTATCTTCCAGTAACACTTCCAAGTCAGCTCTGCCTGTAAAACTTCCGCCTCTTCACCCCACGGCCACGGGAGAGGTGGGGTCACCGGGCATTTACATGGAGGCATTAGCAGGCCTGCTCTGTGCAAAGCATCCGGACAGCTTTCTGTCTTGTCTTGAGAAAACCAAGAAGGGGCCACCTCCGCCAGGGCCCCAAACCTAACAGGGTCCAACGGGGGGATTTTGCAGTCACCTCTCAGTCTGGGCTATCTTGGTCCCAACCCGCTCAGGGACCTGCAAACTCTATTGATTCCATTCCCAACAACATTGAGCTTTTAGGGATGAGCAGAGGCCACTCCTTCGGGAACGGTGTCTGGGTGAGGGGCCCAGGGACTCTCCCTTTCTGCTGGGCCTGGGCTGCCCCGAGTGAGCACGACTTGGTGGCCAGGCTGTCCTTGCCCACGGGATGGCCCCCACATAAGGGAAAGGGGAATTTCTCCAGGAGCCGCTGCTTTCCAAGACGTCCAGCCCCGTCTGTCTCTCGGGCGACTGAATGAGATGATGTCTGTGAAGACCTGGGTGAGGTGCTAAAAAAACAGGAGGAAGCTGAAGTGGTTAAACCCCACAGCCCTCGGTTATAGAGTGGACGGATGCAACTTGATTATAGGACAGCCGCTGCGCTCTGGCTCCAGGGCCACGTTTGAAATGGTAGGGTGTGCGTTCCCTTTGGGCCTCTGTGTTTAAAGGATGGATGGGCTCCTTGGACGTGGGCGGCCCAGCCCCCGCTGGCCCCGGAGAGGAGGAGGGCTGAGGGCCTCCGCTCCAGGCCGGCCACGCACCCCGTCTGGACACTGCTCGTCCTCCTGCCCTGGCTCTCGTGACAGAGGCGGCTCCTCCCCTGACAAGGCAACAAAAGGACCGTCTGGGGAGCTGGGAGCTGCTGGGACAAGTCCACTCGCCTTCCTGCCGTGCAGCCAGCCGGCCTCGGCCTCTGCAGGACGTGCCTGGCGTGGGGAGGAACTCTGCCCCGGGCTCTGCCCTGGGGGTGGGTCCTCCTGCTTCCTCTCCACTGGGCCCTGGTGGACAGATGCCCCAGGGAAGCCATGGGGCTCTCCCCACCATCTGCGAGTTGTCTCTGGAAAGTTCCACTTGTTTGATGGAAAAATAATAAAACCCTGCCTCAGGCTCCACCTCGGGAACTAGAAAGTCCTCAGTCGAACTAAACCCCTTCCCAAGTGCCCGTGCAGCCCAGGGAGAAACAAGCCCAGCGCGTTCGGCCCGTTTCCGTGGGGCTCAGCTGAGTGTCTCTGAGGCCGAGGAGAACATGCCCCTGCTTATGCAGGGCGGGGGGACCCATTCCTGCCCGAGGGTGAAGTTTAGGGTGCCATGGGGCCTTCGATCCGGGCTCTTTTGGCACCTAGCTCTGCCTTATCCCATAGGGCCTTTCGAAAGGGTTCCGTGTAATTCAGGTGATACCTAACTTTTTTTATTGAGGTGAAGTTCACACAAAAGCAACCATTTTAAAGTGGAAAACGTA